TAATTTATTTAGTTTTTTTCTCTCTTCACAGCTTATGTTAATTGGTAGGTACAAGATATCGAGAGCAGATGCTAGTCTGTTGAAATGCATTCCTACTATAGTGAAAGAAATGTTGGAATATAAGTCAAAAGATCTGGGTTCTAGTTTTAGGCAAGCCATATAACCTCTTTAGTTTCCTTCTTTATATAATGGGATACCATGTACTTGTTTTTCTCACCTGCCTTTTGAGACTATCTGCTGAAACCACCCCTATGGTAAAAGCACATCATCTTTGGCATCTAAGAGACATAGGTTTGAAATCACTCTTTTGCTGCTGTGAATGGTACAGTTGCTGAATCATTCATTTCATTCATATGAAGTTATTGAGTACCTGCCATATGCCATACACTGTCCTAGGCATGAGGATATAAGAAGAACAAGACAGACAGGAGCTTAAGTTACAATGATTTTGGACCAGTGTGTGCTAGGCACTGTGCTAAGACAGACAAGTAGCAGTAAATCCTTAGATCGTCTTATTTGCTCACACAGCTGCAAATAACATATATGTGCAGAAAACTCCCAAATTTATACCTCCTGGACTGACCTCTCAGAACTTGTATTATATGTACAGCTACCTTTTTAATGACCACTTTTAAATGATCCATAGTAGACTCAAACATAATACATCCAAACCTAGGCTCATTTTGATCCAAAGACTATCCCTCCCTCCTTTCTTCCCATCTCTTTAACAGTGCCCCATCCATCAAGGTGTTCAAGCCAGAGACCTGGGGGACTTCCCCGACAGCTCCTCTCCCTCACCCTATCACCTGGGTTGAGGACCAGTTACCCTGTTGGGGTCATGCGAAAGGCAGCCGATCCATGTTTCTTCCCCTTCCTCTGTCCCTTCCCCTTTCTCTAAAAGTAAATAAATAAAATCTTAAGAAAAAAATCCTCAAACAGAACAAATTTAAAAACCAGAATATACAACTATTCTTTCATTCCTATACCCTTCTGGGAATATCCTACTCTGAGGAGAGATGCAGATACGGTAAAAGGTGAGGTCAGAAAGGACAGAGCAAGAATGAACTCTTTAAGGTGAGAGAATGAGGCCAAAGAAGAGAAGTGCCAGATACAAGCCTGGCCTAGTTTTGGGGGGCAGGTAAGATTCAGAGAGAAGAGGAAGAAGAGACTCTTGCTGTGCTATGCTGAGTAGAACTTAGACAGACAAATTAAGATTTAAAAATTGTGTTTACTGAGGTTCATGCACAGAAATTTCCCTTTTGTGCTTTTTATAGACTTCAATAATATTAGATTGTTTTTCATTTTTAGTTTTGTTATCTATTGTTTCTTTTGAATGAGATGCTATGTTGATACAGGCAATAAGTGGATGGACTCAGCTTTATTCAAAATACACCGCTATACTTAGAATAAATACAATCTGAATCCCCTACCAGGGCTTAAAATTCTCTATATCTTCTTGCTTTTATTTACCTCTTCAACCTTATCTCTGAACTACTCTCCTTTTGTTGACACTGGTCTTACTTGGGTTCCTTAAACAGAGGTTTTTCCTTTCTCAGTTTCTATGCAACTATTCCCTGTTTGGAAGGTTCTTTCCATGGACAACACATTCTTATATATCAGGTCTCATCTTAAATGGCAACTTTTCAGAAAGTCCTTTCCATCTAGCTTAGCTATATCTCCATTGTTGTTCTCTTTCATGGCACTCAATGGCTTCCTTTGTAGAACTTTGCAATTGGTAATTTATTCATGTGTAGGGTATGTGTGTGTGCACACATGCCTGTTTTGTCCTTGTATATTCAAGACAATGTTCAAGAGGACAAAGAGCTTGTGGGTTTGTTCATGGCTGTAGAGCCAATGTCTCTCACAGCGTTCTGCATATAGAAAACAGTCAATGAATATTTGAATGAACAAATAAGCTCTTGTAGAGCTTAACATTGAGAAGGAAGTACAGATACTGAACACATAATTGTGTTATAATAACTACAAAAGGGAAGTATGGTGTAACTGTACATGTGAGGAAGCTAATTTTAAGTGTACTAAAAACTGAACTAAAAACTGATCAAGAGTTGGCCAAGTGACAAGAGGGGTGGGAAGATGACAAATTCAGGTGTGTGCAATGTTTTGAGTCACCTGTGATATATACGAGGAGAGCTGCCAAGAGGGCAGTTGAATAGATGGCAGTGTGATTGTCAGTAGAATTTCATGTACAAATGAAGCTATCTGTCTAGGGAATGAGTGGAGTGAAAAGCCTGGAATGGAGTCCTGAGTCACTCTTGCCATTTAAGGGTCAGGTTGAAAAGGAGCAACAAAAGTGACCAAGGAGTAGTCAGAGAGGTAAGAATAAGACCAGAAAGTGTAATGCATGAACATTTTTGCATTGTTGTAGCTACAATGAATGCTTAATTTTTATTTTTTTTTATTTTAAAGTGAAAGGAAATTATGATTTCATAATTATCACTTGGTAGCTGTATAGTGTTCCATTCAATGACATTTTAGAGATTTATGGAAGAATATGGCTGATTCTGCTAAAAGTATGGGGAGGGAAAAAAAAGCCACAAACTTTTTCGTAAAACCCACCCCCTTTACCATAACAGGATAATTTAAAGAGTTACGAAAGCACAGAAGCAAATGGGCCTATTAATTTTGTCTTCTGGAGTTTAAATATAGATAAATCAATTCCAATATGTTGCTTCCTCATCTTCATAGTCACATTTCAACCTTGAAATTTGAATTATATCCTAAGAAGGACAGGGTTGAAGGGTTAAACCAGAGGGAGACATGCTTATTTTGTTGATCCTTGAAATACAAGGACTGTCTTCATAGATATACTAGCAAACTGAAGACCAATACATCACCTTGATGCATTGTTCTGAATCTTCAATGACAAAGAAGTCAAGTAAATGATACTTTTATGTATTGCCATTAAATCTTAAAGTCAGACCAGAAAGTTCTAAAGAGAGGATGTTTTTGTTTTTTGTTTGTTTGTTTGTTTTAGCATTCGTTGATCATTTATAAGTCATCACAAATATCCTTTAGTACAAAGTGGGCTGAAATGGGTAATACCTGCTTCAGTTGACACACACTCATTTGTTTAAAGTTAAAACTGATTGAGGTAAGCTGTCAAAACAAAAAAAGAGGCATTTTCTGAAGCTGTGGAATTTTGGATTTCTATAGGAAACATGACTAGAAGCAAAATTAAGTCAAGGGCATTTTAAGTCTTTGATCTAATAGACTTCTGTGCTGAAATCAGTATTTTAGCCCAGAACAGCTAAATGTTTTTCGCTATCAACCAATAGGTCTCTAGTTTGGTAACATCCAAAGTCATTGACCAGGAAGCCTAAGACACTAGAGTTGCTGAATTCCTGAGTTCAATTCAGTAAATATATATTGAGCTCCTCCTTTATGGAGGACAAAGTACCAGATATACCTTCCATGAAATCTTATCTTCTCTCTTGTTTTAAGTCCAGCCGTAGCTCTCTGCATGGATTTTGCTGGCACTCTCCTGTGTGTCCTGTCTAGTGAGGGGATATTTTTGTCTTCACTCCAGGTTGTGGAAATGGGTAGTGATGTCAGGCCTATCCAGAACATAAGCCAACACAGCATTTTTGTGGGCTTTGGGCCTCTCTTTGTGGTGGGAGAGAGGGGGAATAGGCAATGGACCTTTGAATCACATGGAGACTCTTGGCACTGTTGAGTACCTTCTACATACCACATTCTCATTAACCCTTGGTTAATAATCACAACATTGGATGAAAGAGTTGGCATTGTTTAACTGCCTTTTACAGAAAAGGAAACTGGCTAGTGACCTGTAAAAGGTCACAGAATAAGAGATGGATCTGGGATGAATCTTTTCTCTAGTCTTCAAAGGCTTTCCACCACAATGCACAGGGACCCAGTAGAATTTCAGGTCCACAGCAGCTCATCCTGTGCCTTCCACTCCCACATTTATACCAGAGGAAATCTGTCTAGAATGTACATTTAATAAAGTAGCAAAGGGAAAAGAGGTCATGGACAAGCAATTTATAACCTGAGAGGTAAGTATGTGGGGTAAGGGTCCACCGTTTTTTTTTGTCTTGATGAGAAGACTCTAAGGGTATTTTAGAACTAATGTTACTGCCTGTTTTCCTGAGTTCTTGCCCGTAATACAGAGGCCTGTTTCCTCCACTGGATAAGTATATGAATGGCTGGTCCAGTTCTGTCTCAATGATTGTGAAGATCAAGTAAAGTCCTTTGTAAACTACGGCTCTTCACAAACTTGTAAGGAAGCAGACATCTTACCACGGGATCAGGGAACTGTGAAGTAGCTGATTAAAACGAGTTCTTGATTACTTGAGATACAGGAAGGTAGTAATAGCATTTGATAATTTACAATCGAAAACTGCATTCTAACAAGCAATTTTAATCTGAGACTTGTCTCTTTGTAGAGCTTTTTATTTTAAAAAAAGGAGGCGAGATGTAAAATGCCAGTATGATTCATTAAATTTCATTTTTTGAGCTCTGCCCAAACGTTGATGGAATTAGGGCAGAACAAAAAGATCAAGAAAAAAGCCAATGTACACGGCCTGTGTCAGTGAATACTGGGAGGAAAGGAAACTGTTATGAGAAAAAGACTTCAGGACACCTCTGGGGATGGCTCTGGTTCGGGACATTCTCTTTGGCAATGTTCCAGAATCTGAGTGCCCAGGGCTCCCTTCAGTAGAAGGGAAAGCCGCGCGTGGCCAGGCGCGCGCGCGCGCGCACACACACTCTACACTACACTAACACAAGGCCTGTTTCCTCCGCTTCGTCCCCCCCGCCCCCGGAGGCGGGTCTCTTCTTTAAAGAGCAGAAGGTGTCCGCGCAAACCCAAGCTCTCTAAGGCCCCGGGGATCCGGGACCAAGTTGCTTGCAGCCAATGGGCGCGGTGGAAAGGCTTGAGCGTGGCTGACGCTACACCAATAGGCGTCCGCGGGGGGCGGGGGCAGCGGAGAAGACACTATTGTTGATGAGGAGAACCAGCAGCGGTGGCGGCTGCACCACCTCATTGCTGCCAGCTGCGGTCCGGGCGGCCCCGCACGCCGGGTTCCAGCTTCGTCACCCCGTCGCGGGGGTCTTCCCTTTGGCCTCGAGAACCTTTCCCCTTCAACCCAACAACAACCCCCTCTCCGTCTCAGACGCCCATTCACCGGGGAGGGTGGACCATGTCCCAGCGAGTGAGGCGCAATGGGTCCCCCACGCCGGCTGGTTCCCTCGGGGGCGGTGCGGTCACCACTGCTGGGGGAGCCGGGAGCCGCCTGCAGCCCATGAGGGCGACAGTTCCGTTCCAGCTGAAGCAGCAGCAACAACATGGCAGCCCCACGCGGAGCAGCGGCGGCGGCGGCGGCGGCGGCAACAACGGCGGCTGCTGTGGTGGCGCCTCAGGCCCCTCAGGCGGCGGGGGCCCGCGCACAGCCTCGCGCAGCACGAGCCCCACTCGCGGCAGCGGGAGTGCGGCCGCGCGCACGAGTCCCACGGTGGCCACGCAGACGGGCGCGTCAGCGACCTCCACGCGAGGCACCAGCCCCACGCGCGGCGCCGCGCCCGGGGCTCGCGGGAGCCCCCCACGGCCGCAGCCCCCGCCCCCCCTGTTGGGCACCGTGTCGTCGCCTTCCTCGTCGCCTACCCACCTGTGGACGGGCGAGGTGAGCGCAGCCCCACCCCCAGCCCGCGTCCGGCAGCGGAGGAGGTCCCCGGAGCAGAGCCGCTGCTCCCCGGAGAGGAGGAGCCCGAGCGCCCCCGTGTGCAAAGCAGGTAGGTGCTGGGGGTGGTGTGGCTGGGGGTAGGCGACCCCGGGAGGGGTCCAGAACGCGCGTAGCTACCGAGCGGGGACGGGGGCACTGCCCCTGAGACAGGGTGGCTGAGGGCGGGGCCCGAGTGGGGCGGCCCCGCCTTCCCCAGGCTGGCCCCGGGCCCCTTCTGCGGCTCCCCTCCCGCCTCATTCATTCCTTAGCCGGTCCACGCCTGTCCCGGCCGGTGGAGGTGCAGCTGCTAAGCTGTGGTTGGTCTGATTTGTGTTGACGGTAAACCTGGGATTCTGGCTGCCCACCGGTTACTGCTTACCCTCCTTTGGTGGTGAGGCTAAGAGTGGTTTGTCACTGCGTTTTAATGGCATGATTGATGTTAATATAGCACATGTCTGTTGCTAAGTATTTTTCATAAAACTGTTTTAGATTTTCGGGACTTAATGCGTCAGTGTAGCAGATTTGGATCCCTGAAGAGACGTGAGGCTGGGAGCCTGTTAAGCATTTCCTAAGACTTGATAAATGAGTAGCAAGAAGCGAAGTAAATTCAGCAAGTTTTCCTTGGAAGTTTTAGGGTCTGGGTGTATTTCTGATATACTAATTTTGTGTTTAGGATGTAAAACCATTCGTGTGTGTGTGTTAAACAAAATCCAAAGTTTGTTATTATTTTAGACATCTAAAAATTGTTTTTTTTCTATACCTGAGACTATTCAGGGGAAAGGTCCTGTATGGAGTCGTTGGGTTCCACTGGAACTATTCGTAGAGAGTTAATAAAAAAATTCAAATTATGGAAATAGAAAGAGATAAAATTTATCATCTGATTGCTTTCCTGTTAGAATCTAGTGAAGAAATATATGGGTAGTTTTTAGCTTATGTGTTAATACTGCTAACATATACCTTTGTCTTCCTTTATCTAGGGAATTTCTGTTAAAATCTTCCAGGCAGAATGGCTGGGAATTTCAGGAAACTTAGTACAGTACTTCCTAACCAAATGAAACGGTTAAAGTGATTTCAAAGGTTCATTCAGAAATTCAGGGAGTAGGATGAATCTTTCTTACTATTTAAGTGGAGATTTTAGACAAAATTTTTGACAATTTTTTAGGGGATAAAATTGCCCTGAAAAATGATCAACAGTGTTATCGAACTAGAGCAAGAGTGCTGTTTTAAACCTTTTGAAAATGCAAAATGTTTTTTTAAAACTGATTTGTTAAAAGTATTAGGACCTCCTCCCCTTCAAATAATAGCTTTCACTTTACTGAGCTCCTGCTATATGGTAGGTGATTTGCCTAAAAGTTCTCATTTTAATTTTCAGAGTAGGTTTTAGACAGGTTAAGTAACAAGTGTTAGAGTTTATAGTTGAACTTTGCTGGGTGGTACTCCAAAACCTAATCTTTTACATTATATCAAGGAGGTAGCTTTATGATGTATAAGGTAGAACTTGGGAAATATATAGCACAAAATTGCATGTGCTTAGTTTTTGAAGTAACTCTTAGAGCTTTCATGTGAACATAATTGCTTCACTTTACTTTCAGTCTTCTGGAGCTGGCATAGTGTGGCAGGTAGAAGGGAAAGAGAGCTGCTTAAGTGAGCAGTGGAGATGGAGGTAGGAGGTGGTGACTGAATTCTGATAATAGACTTTGGCTACCCTCTTAACTGTTTGACCCTTGAAGCAGAGCAGCAGTTTGAGGAGAGCTGGGTTAAATTAAGTGTTGACAATGTGTGGAGAAAGGTGCTCTTCTGATCTCTACAGGGGCTTAATTTCCTGGAATCTCAGTCTCCTGATGTGTCTATTCTTCATGTGTCTCATAGCTCCCTTCCCTCAGATCTGTCATTCCCTAGAGTATACATACACACTATAAAATTAGCCTTTCTCATTGTCCTCCACCCCCCCAAAAAAAAACAACAAACACACCTGAAAAATAAAAACTCTTGTTCCTCTAATGCAACACTCTCAACTAGGTGTGAAAGGGATACTGCCTGTTACTAAGTTATACTGAAGTGAATGTCTGATAACTTCCTTTCCAGGAGTGAATTTTTGTTTCACTCTAGTGAACTTCCATGCAGAGTGGCACAGTTTTCAGATTTCAAATCTTCGTAGCATAAACAAAACCATTTGCTTTTTTTCTCAGACTTAAACTGGAAAGAGGGAAAAGGAGGGACTTTTAAATTTTTATTTATTGGTTTGCTATTTTTTTAAGAGAGAGAGACAGAAACATCAATTTGTTCCACTCATTTTTGCATTGATGGATTACTTCTTGTATGTGTTCCCAACTGGAGATCAAAATCATAACCCTGGTGCATCAGGGTGACACTCTTAACTAACCGAACTACTGGCCAGGGCAAAAGGAGAGTCTTTTAGATTAAAGTGAGATTACCACCATTTTACAGCCTAGCCTCAGTGAAATGTAGAAATCTTTACTGGTAGAGGGGTCCACCTTAAATAGTTTTGTAAACCTCATGTGGCTCAAATTCCAGGGTCCATCTAGATCAGGCTGCCACTTTCTGGGTGTCTTGTCAGATGAACTGGATGCCGTAGCCTTTGTTAGAGATCCAGTATTTCAAAGTACCTAAATCGAAGGTCTCAGGAAACTTAGAAGGTTGTTCCTATTTTGCTGGATTTTTGCTCAGTTGCTTTATTTCCCCAGGGTTAGAGCTAATCATTGGCTGTTCTGGAACACCCCTTTTCTTGAGTATAAGGCAGCAATTTTCAACTGCAAGAATTTTGAAAACATTCAATACCTATTTAGTCAGGGGCACTGACCTCTTTTCCCTTAGATTATCATATGCAAAAATGACAACAGCCAACACAACAAGCACCGTCAGTGTGAATGAATAAAAATTATACCTTTTTTTTTGTCAGATCAGCAAAAAACTTTTTTTTGGTGTGCTGCAGAATTTTAATAATTAGTTTATGTGTGCCGTGAGATGAAAAGTGTTCGAAATCACTGCTAGAAGGTAATCCAAGCACCCATCCCTGACTGGTATTATTTTCAAGTACATTCAGTATTATTCTATATTAGTTTCAGATGTCCAGCAAAGTGGTTTGAAAATCATGTCCCACTGCTTCAGGTACCCACCTGGCTCCATTCATAATTATAACAATATTATTGACTATATTCCCTGTGCTGTAATCTGCATCTCTTTGACTGTTTTATGACTAGCAATTTGTGTGTCTTCACCTTTTTCACCCAGCTCCCCAGCTCCCCTCTCTTCTGACAATTGTCAGTCTGTTCTTTGTATCTATGAGTCTCTTTCTATTTTGTTTGTTAGTTTTCTTCCTTAGATTCCACATATAAGAGAAATTGTATGGTGTTTGTCTTTCTGTATCTGATTTATTTCACTTAGCATAATCCCCTCTAGGTCCATCCATGCTGTCACAAAGGTCAGATTTCATTTTTTTATTTTTAATGGCCAAGTAGTATTCTATGGTGTACATGTACCACAGCCTTTTTATCCACTCATCTATTAATGGTCACTTGAATTGCTTCCATAGCTTGGCTATTGTAAATAATGCTGCAGTGAACACAGGGTGCGTGTATTATTTCAAATTAGCGTTTTTGGGTTTCTTCAGATTCATTCCTAGACATGGAATCTCTGGGTCATAAGGCAGTGCCATTTTTAATTTTTTGAGGAAACTGCACACTGTTTTCCATAGTGATTGAACCAGTCTTCATTTCCACCAACAGCAGACCAAGTTCCCTTTTCCCTACATCCTCACAAATATTTGTTGTTTCTTCTTTTATTGATGATGGCTGTTCTGACAGGTGTGAGGTGGTATCTTATTGCGGTTTTGATATGCACTTCTCTGATTAGTGATTAGCTGAGCATCTTTTCATGTGTCTGTTGACTATCTGTATGTCTTCCTTGCAGAAGTGCCTATTCAGGTCTTCTGCCTACTTTTTAATTGTTTTTTTTTGTTTTTGTTTTTCTGGTTTTAAGTTGTCTGAATTCTTTATAAATTTTGGATTATGAACCCCTCACCAGATGTGTCATTGGCAAACATCTACATCAAACTAAAAAATTTAGCACAGCAAAGGAAACCATCAACAAAATGAAAAGACAGCCTAATCATTGGGAGAAGATATTTGCCAATGATATACCTGAGAGAGATTTTAAACTTTCCACCTTCAGTGCCTGCCATTTCCATTGCAATGTGGTTTGTCATTAGGAAGTGAGATATGCTTAGAGGACGTAACTAGGCAACATTGAAAACTGTAGGTAAAAGGGTGAAGAAGGAGAGGTTTGTTTTTGTGCCTTTCCTTTTTACCTTATTCTGTCTTACTCAATAAAATGTCAAACAGATATAGTATAAATGGAGAGGTGACGTAACATGGAGGTTAGGAGCATAGGCTTTGGGTAGATAGTCTGAGTTTAATACCTGTGTTCTGCCACTTAGAAGCTATGTGATATGGGGAAATGAATAATTTTCTGACCCTTAACTGTCTCATCTGTATAAAAGGTAATGATATCTATATCTCCGTAATATGGCGGTAAGGATTACATGAAAGAAAATTTAAAAATACTCAGAACTGTACTTCATCATAAAAGTTAGCTATTGTGTATCATATTAGCTTGCTTCTAGTTATAGTGGATATAACATAAATTGCCAGAGTAGGCTTAGTCTTCATGATTATATGAAATTTCCAAATGGAGAGAATGTTGCCTGTGTTCTCAGAATGTGGTCTGGTTCTTTATCAGAATCACTTAGGGTCCTTGGTAAAAATGCAGGTCCCAGGCCCTAGTACAAACTTCAAAGCCCCATTTCCACCCCACTGATTTTGCTGTACTCTAAATTTTTTTTTAAAAAATTACTGGAAGCACCAAAGGAAAATCTTTTGAAAACTCATTAGAGAAAATGGCATTAGTACAGTATGTGTATCAGTGTGTCCGATATGTAGATAGCAAGTTGTGTTTTTCCTCATTTTTCCCCTTACTTTGGAAGCATCATGATGTGTATGAATTTGGTTGATTATTGGGGTGGGAGAAGCATCAATAACAGCAACAAGAGAT